GATGAGTTCGTACCAATGGAGCGAAATCTACATCCGACCTGACTGGAACGAAATCAACTCTTGATTCTAACGGAGCAGAATCAGCTCCTGCTTTCACTGAAGTGAATCGTCGTCCGTCCCCCACCCTCCCCCTTCTCCCCCAAAACGCCGATAACCATCGTTTTCACGCGAGCTGAGCCCAGAACCCAACCTCACTTCCATTGAAGCGGCACCAGCGCTCGATTCCACTGCAGCAAATCAACGCTGGACTCAACCGAAGAAAACTAACGCTGAATTCTACTGCAGCATATCAAAATAGGATTCTACTGAAGCAAATCAACGCTGGACTCCACTGCACCACAAATCGGCATGTATCCTAGTGAAGCGGTGCCGACCGCAGGCAGGCCAGCCGGCTGCGGCACCGTCACAGCCCCGCCGGCCGGGCGTGGCGGCGCCGACAGCGGCCCGGCAGCGCCCACACGACCGGCCGGTCGGCACGCACAGGGCGCGGCCGGCCCCTGCCGCCGCCCGCACGGAGACGACGCGGCCCGCCGCCGGGTCAGGCACCGCCGGCGGCCGCGACCGCACGCCGCCGGACGAGACGCGCGTGCACGCACGGTGGCCGCTCCTGTCTGCGTATGCCGCTGGGGGCAGCGGACCCTGACGATGCCGCAGCTCGTGCCGCTCCACAACAAAGGGGAGGCAGGTTCGAAACTTGCTGTTAGCTGCGCTTCGATCCCCCGCTACAGGCGGCGTGACATGCAGACACCATGGCCGAATCAGTGATCAGTGCTGTAAAACACGGCCAGCACGAGGCGGAGGGAGCGGCTCGCGGCACGTCAGGGAGCGGGGTCAGAGAGCAACCCGGCTGGGAGGCGACGGAGCTGCTCCTCGCAGACGCCGAATGCCGCAGCATTTTCCGACCTGGCTGGGAGGCGACGGAGCTGCTCCTCGCAGACGCCGAAGGCTGCAGTATTTTCCGACCCGGCTGGGAGGCGACGGAGCTGCTCCTCGCAGACGCCGAAGGCTGCAGTATTTTCCGACCCGGCTGGGAGGCGACGGAGCTGCTCCTCGCAGACGCCGAAGGCTGCAGTATTTTCGACAATAGCCCCGGCCGACGTTTCCCAGGCGGCGAACCGCCTTTCTCTACTGTGTTATCAAGGCGCCTGGTTGCATTGAGAGAGGACGAGACTTCGCCCGTACGGATTCGTGCTCGGAAAACTTTCGCACAGCTCCGGTTGAAGCCACGCCATCAGCAGCGAAGCTTACAAAAGTTCGACTAGCGCGCGGGGGGCGGGGGCGAATAAGAAAATCAACGACACCAGATACTGTTTGGGGACAGCGCAAGGCCTGTAGCAATCTTACGGTGCTAATGCTGCCATAGCGCCACCTTTCACGGCGAAGTGTAACTGCGCGCGCGCATGATCGGACCAATCACGCCGTTTCCGATCCAAAAGTTGGTTCTCTCAAATTGTTTCCCAACAGCCCCGATTTCTCGCTTGAAATGTTTGTTTTCACTACCAGCATTCATCGTACTGTTTGCTCAGCATCATGAAAACCTATGTTCGTCAAACATGCTTGCTTAGGTTTTTACCTGTTCGGTATACATTGTGACTCAAGTGATGTATCAAAAATCGTATAAGGGCTCGAACAACTTTATACGAAATCTACGATGCTTGATACTGAGTTCAAACGACTCCTGATTTTCCGCATTATCAGCTCTGATGCTGAGTGATCATTCTAACCGCTAGCACTACCGGAGGTGTCAACACCTAAATAGAAATGATTGCCTAATGGTTGCATGGTACGTTCGTTTATCCACCAGCTTCCGGACTCCTATTTCCTATTTGGACAGGAATGCGTTATTCCACACATTTCGCTGTAGCGAAAACCTGCCGGGTCGGGCTTCGGCGCAGAAGAAATATTTTGCTAGCCGCCGGGAACATTAAAGCCTCGCAGCATGATTTCGCCTCACATATAGCAATTTACGGGCCTTTAAAACTGACGGGCTAGGGTTATGGCCGTCATCACATCTGAAGCGACGTGGTGCCGTTCCCAGGTTTGGGTAACTTATGTTGGTGCTGGTGATTACCTTCAAAATTCGTACACTACCTTGAATGCTTATTGGACTCATATATCTCCGTAGCGTTACGTTAAGAACCCTCTTTTAGTTTTGAAGTTGCTGTTTCGGTGCACTGTCCCAATCGCCAATATGAACACTATAAACGACTTCAGTGCAATAACCATATCAACATCAACTGCCCAGTGCACTAACAATATCAGCATCGACTGCCCGGTGCATCACGCTGCTGCTGCTTCCCTGAGGAAGCGGGGCTCGCACCGGCACTGGCAAACGGCACCAGCCGCAGGACGGCGGCCGCCCAGCGTACTCACGCCAGCCCTGTTAGATCGGCATCCGGCGAGCGGAACGGCCCGCTCGGTACGTACCTGAAACAGAACGACGCCGTTAGCATCGAGTCCGCATACTTCGGACAGCTAGGGCAAGCCATGTATTTGAGAGGGTTCTAGTGTCACATCGATGTAGTGAGATGCTACATAGTGTCTTCTCCTCAGCTTCGCATGGGCAAAATTTGCCGACGACCCAAAAGGTAAGTTAGCGTAAAGAAGTTTCATAAGTATCAAAACAATGGCGGCTACAAAAAAAACAACTACAACCGAAACGGAACCGCTTCCGCACAACGCACAACGCATGCCATGCTCCATCGACCATTCAGAGTCCGTCACATGGCGCCGGTGTCTCACGCGCGCGGCCGGCCACATGGCGTGGACGTGGAGCAATACATCAGCCTGCCACAGCAAGGCTCCAACGCCGGCCGTCTACAAAACACGTCCACCGGCGCGAGCGCACGCCGCTGGGCGGCGAGGAGAGCGGCAGACGCGCCATCTGTCAGACGAGGGACGCGGTCAGCACGCGGCACTGCGTGACGTCCCGCTCCGCGGCCGGCCCCGCTCTGGGCGGCGCACGCAAACCGCCCGAGGCAATTTGGGGGCCGCCCGCGCTCACACCGGCCGCAGAGCCGCCGCTGCGCTGCGTTACTCGCGGTCGGAGCGCCGGCACTGTCAACAGCGGCCCGTCTGGTGTACCGGCGGGCGCCACGGCATCGGTCGCGGGCGGGGCCTCGCCTGCTCGCCAGCGCGCGGTCCGGCCGGTTCAGTTGCGAACTCTCCGAGTTCCGCCCCGAGGCCTCTTCGGGCCGTTTGCACTATCGCGAGCAGCGCCGCGGGGTGCTGTCCCCCCCCCCGCGCCCGGCCACCTCCACGCCTAACGCTGGGGACGTGCGGGCGGCACCCCAAGCAGGCACCCTGTCACGTGCTCGGAGTCGTGACCGTGGCGGCGGCGGCCAACGAGCATCACTAAACGTGAGCTCAAAGTTACAGTGGCAACGGATGTACCTCATGTTGGCACCACTAAATGTGGGTTCAAAGTTGAAATGGCCATGGATGCGGCTTGTGTTTCTTTCATTGACACCCCCGTGGGCAAACAGAGCGAAGGTGGTGGAATTTCTTTATTAATGAAGAGGAATGTGAGATGTGCGCTCATTTATGGAGCGACAGCGATCGCAGATGCCACTTGAGTGCGCAGAGTCATGGCGCAACAGGGATCCCAAAACACGTGGCATTGCCAGGAGACGTCTTCCACTGCTTTCTGCTACCTTAACGCAATGTGGTTGAGTGTTATGGTCCGCAAATGGGTATCCAAACAGCAACCACCGTTCTTTACAGAAACCGCTTCATTTTCGCTGCCAGCTGTCGCGCCAGTCATTGTAAGCTCACCCGGTCGAATGTGCAAGGCCCATGTGTTACTAATGATCCCTAGCTTCGCTCCGACTCTGTAACTCTACCCCCTGAAACTCGGCGCAAACACTTCCCGAAAGCGACCGGCTCCGCTAAAACCGCCTGGGACAAAGAGAACAGGGAAGAGACCTGCCCCCTTCCCCTGAACACTATCCCTCCCAGATGCCAGCACACCGGCCCAGGGGCACAATGGAAAATGACCCAAGCAACGCCGTCCCATCGACCACGCTTTCGAGACCGCGGGCACGGCCCGTGACGCCATTTCTCCGACAATGTTAACATTATAATGGCTGGTTTAGTTGGCTTCGGTGACCGGAGCTCGTGCAGTGCCGGCGGACCCCGGCGAACAACAAGGCTACGGATCCACTAACGGCGGGGAAGCCACGCTTTCACGGCTCACCAGGGCGTTGAGGAGGGGCTGAGAGGGGCCTGAGGGTGTTGATAAGGCCTGAGGGGCTTGAGAGGGGGCTGAGGCGAGAAGGGGGCTGGGGCGAGAGGGTGCTGCAGTCACCGTGCTAATCTGGAATAAACCTTATGGTGAGGGAACGCAAGCTTGCGCTTGACAAAACGCAATCATCCATTCCACGATTCCAGGGAGCCGCATATGGCCCTGCGCTTGGTGGATAGTACAGGCAGGGTGCGCGGAGGAGCACGTGGTCGGCGCTGGCCGGCGCGCGCACCAGCGCGCCGGGAGGCCGCTGACGCAAGCCAGCTGCCGCGTAATGGGGCCGCCGGCCGCCGCTGCCGGGAAATAACGAGAGCGCGGCCGGCAGCCGTCCCCGGCGCCGTCAGCACGTGCGACGGCCGGCCGGTGGCGAGCGCGGCGCCGTCTGGCGGGCCGAGGGCGAACTGCGCCGCCGACGACGCCGCGTCGCGCCGCGGCGCTGCGACGTCGCGTCCGTCGCGGCCCCTCCGTCGAGAGGGGGCGGGGAAGGGACCGGAGAGGCCGGCGGCTGACGGACGGGTTGGATGGCGGCCCAGCGACGCCACCGCGCGATCTGCCAACGGCGGCCGGCGGACGAGCCGGGCCACCGGCCGTGCGGCTCCGGCGCAGCGCTGCTCGCCGCGGTCGGCTCGGCCCGTCGCGCCGCGGCTCCACTTCAACGACACGGCAACGCTTCCGGCGGGCCCGGTGGCCGGCCTGCGGCACCACCTGGCGAGCAGCGGGGCCTGCAGGGCGCCCTCAGCCTCAGACGCCGCCTCACCTGGTACGGCAGCACGCCCGGCATCAGCTGGTAGAACTGGCTCAGCTGGCCCAGCGTGCTCGGGTCGAACGGCACCTCCTGGGCGGGCATCTCGTACATGGCTCCGCGGCGGAGCCGGCGCCGCGCACAGCACACTCCCTGCGCCGCCTCGGTGCCGACTGACCGGCCGGGACGCGGACACGGGCGCGGGCGCCGAACACGCGGCGTGCGAGCGAGACGCTGTCGCGCCGGCCGGCGGATGTGCGAGGTGGCTGGCCGCGATAGCACTCGGGCGTCCGTTGCGACAGCGGCGGCGGTGCGGCGGGCGCTGGCTTCTCTCGGCGGAGGAGCAGCGGGCGCGGCCGTCGACGACTGCGCGATGGCTCGTCGGGGGCGCGCGGGCGAGTGCCGGCGCCGGCGGCGGCCCCCGCTGGCGCCCGGCGTCGTTACGGCAGGGGCGCTGCCAGCCGCCCGGCCCGGGGCGGCGCGTGACGTCAGCGCGCGCCGTGACGTCAGCCGCCGACCGCCGCCGGCGGGGCGCGGCGAGCGGGGGCGGCCGGCCGCCAGCTTCCGCGCTTCCGCCGGCGCGCCGCCCTGTCGCCGCCCCTGGGGCAAGATGACGGGCGGCGGGAGGGCGTCGTCGGGGCGAGGGGGGTGGGGGCGCCCCACCGTCGGGGCGACACCGTTCGCATCGACCGGCCGACCGTACCGCATCGACGCACGGCCGGGGTCGGCCACGCCCCAGGGCCGGGTCCGACCCCGGCCGTTTCCGAGGCCCCACGCCCGCCGGCCGACGGCCGTATGGCCAACAACCTCCGGATGCACCCACGGGCCTGCCTCGGGCGCGGCGCTGGGCGCGCCTTTGACCGCCCTTGACCGCACAGCTCCGAAACTTCCAGCTTTTCATTCCCGCCGCCCAGGCATCGCTGCGCACGGCAGAGCAACGTTTGAAACTTCACAGGCGTGCGTAAAACGGCGGCCGAGGAGAGGCAACAAAAGCGGCACCTTTGACGTGACGTCGTCGGTTTAAATATACGGCGATCTGGCGTCTCCGAGTCCTCGCCTCCAGCGCCCGCCGCCGCACAGCCTCACGCCAGATGGCGTCGCCCGCCCGTCCCTGCCAAAATCCATACTCGTGGCCAGGGGCGCAGCCAGCCACCGCGTGGACGGGTGCGTGTCATTCAATAACGCGAGCACGCGGCCGCAAAAATCGCATTGTTCGATGTGTGAGCGGTCGACATTTCAGGCGATATCGGGGCCGGGAATCCCAGGGCATCGTCCGCAGGCTCTCCCCTCACCCACCGCGCCGAAGCGCGCGCGCCTGCCCCAGGCAGCAGCGAGATAGGCTGCGGCGGCCCCTGTTCCTTGCACAGATGTGATCGCGCCGGGAAGGGGGAGCGCAGGCGGCGACAGGGGGACGGCGGAAGAGGGGCGAAGTTGGGGAGACTGCATGCTCACGAGTCCTCCGGACACGAGCATGGCACAGCGGACCGTGGTAGCATGCAATGATGTTGATGCATTTGAAACAGGACTTTGGCCTTGGAGCCTGGACGATTACCACGCATCATGACAACAGATAAGAACATGGCAACGCAGTTGAACCGCATCCAGTCAGACGATATGAGGACAATGCAAATAAGCAATACAGAAACATCTTCTTCGTAGCCGTGTAATACTCGTCTCGGCGCCCCGTCCAGGTCGGTGCACGATTCGCTCGTCACGTTACAAAACCGACAGAACTGAGTTACAAATAACGTAAACCCAAGAACGCGAATGACTGAACGACATAAACATTTGCGATGTTATCATTAATGCTGCAAAAACGTTTACAATCAACGGACCGACATGATAAGGTTCCATGCCTGCACGGGGTTCATAAATAACGGTGAAAGTAATCCGAAAAAAAACGTAGCTGAAGGCTGACCGGCTTCGTCTGGGAAGCTTGGGAAAAAGGTGGCCATCGAGACATGTGCGTTTCCCAATACCTGCATATCAACGGACCCCAGAGTTTGACGAACATGATTGGTTCCTAACGTTGCGACTATGGCGCACTAATGCACACACTACTGGTACAATTATCCTGCACCCTTGATTACATGAATCATTGTTGATGCATTTCCCCTCACTATTGGGCACCCAATTACGGAGTACCAGTGTTTACACACTTAAAAACACGACCATTAAAAGGTTCCGTTCCATCACGAAAGGATCCGCGGGGCGCTTCCGTCAGGCCTGAACACTAAGCTGCATGGATGTCACAAAGAGGATCGTACCCATATTTCGGCGTCCAGCTGATCCCAATCGTCGTCTATGGACTTGCCAAGGTTTCTTTTGTACAGCAAGTAATTGCGTCGAGCGCGTAAAGCAGCAATAGCATCTTGGTTCAGGAAAGGAAAAATCATCGTGCGCACTGCACAAGTAGTGCAAACCATTGAAGCTCGCTGAACGAAAACACCTTCTAGATTTCAAGAGAGCCAGCAAATAGGTTCACGCAATGCTCATTTACACTCTTAATAACGTCAAGAACTCAGCTGAAATGGTGCCACACTGAAGCAGAAGACGACAGTTTTCTGTTCCAACCCACAGCCAATCATGGGCCGATAACATCTGTCGCCGCCCGCGAGGGTTCGCCTCGTGGGGTCATGCGGCACGCGCAACGGGGCATCAAAGGCTGGGCCGCGCCTCGATTTGAGGCAAGAACACAGGGACCGCACAGGAAGCCATATTCCACAGCTCATCCCACTGCCTTTCAAGGGAAGTGAAGGGCATGCCAAAAGGCGGAATGCGGGCGCATAGCAAGGCACATCACGCTATGGAGCGACGCCTCGGCACCTCCGTGGGGCTTGCCACGGCGACAACTCCGGTGTTGTTTTAGCGATATCTTATCTCAGCGGCGGTGCGTTCTGTGCGCATTTTAACACTACTGATACGGTTCCCCACACAGCGCGAATGTCGCCGTCACGCCCGCCGCCATCTCGGCCCCGCACACGAGGCACGCAGGGGCGCCTTGCCCTCGCCGATGACAGTCACTACCGTCTGTCTACCCTCGACATCACTGCTGTCGCATGAACAGCATACCTGTAGAAGAGTGCACGCACACACAGTTTTCCTCAAGTATCTGCCGAGGATATGTGCTTTCTGACGACTTGTGTGCTTTCTCATCGCAGCATCAGTATTATGCCTGCATTACGCCACTAGCATTTACATCGGTGCGCAATAAATGGTCTGTAAATCATGCAATCACAGTACGGTACATCAGTATACAGTGCAATGACTACACCGGTACCAGCGTGAAGAATGGACCCTAATGCGCCTCCTTCCCAGATCAGAAGTCGGAATCAGCGCCCCTGGCGGACGGCATCCGCCAGAGGCGAAGACAGGCGGTGGGGCAGCACAGACGATGACGTCATCAAACTGGCGAGAAGCTCAAGACAAAGCGACGGGCGTGACAGCCGGGAATGCCAATTGGACGCGCGCCCCAGCCAGTTCACCGACCACTGCTGTGTCACTCGAAATGGATGCCTGCACCTCGTCACCAACATGGGCCAGATACCCATTCGCCAGGATCCCGTCAACATCTGGTGCCCAGGCTCTAAGTAACGATTCTGACCTCGGTTTGATATTGTTTAACAGCGTCCCGGCTGCTGAGGCCCTGCCGCGCAGGTAATGATCCCGAAACCTTCTCACGATGCAAGCACGGTTCAGATCAAGTGAACAAACGATCGGTGCTGCCTGTATACACGCCTTGAGTATCGATTTTCCAATCGTTTCGCCGGTCATGGACGGAAGTGCGTCCCAAGATATTATGTAAGCATAAAACAACTGAGAGACGAGAGGCGATAACGGCCTCACTAAAGGTCAACCATCAATGGAGCGGTGAGAAGCAATTTCCACACGGATCAAAAATGGAAGCGCCTCTCTTGCCGACCGCTTTGCGGTTCCAACCACTGGTTCGTGACAGGATCAGAAAATACAAACCAACCACGACTCGCATTCGCGATGAGCACACTCGCACCACCTGCTGCATGATCCCCACCAACAGACTTTCTCCACTGGTCCGCTAGATGGCAGTTGCTGCCGCGCGCCGGCCGGCAGGCGCGTGCGGCGCGTACGCCGGGGCCTTGAGCGTGGCCGTGCGGTGCGCAGCCCGTCCTGCGGGCGGCCGAGCCGGACGGACCAGTTTCTTGGCGGCGGCGCCGGGCGGCCGGCCGGCCCCGCCGCCGCCGCACGCGCAATGCGCGCCGCCGCCGCCACCGCCGCGGCGAGGAGGGGCCGGGACTGGCCGACATCAGCCGCCCGGCCACCAGGCGGAGCTGGCACGGCCAAGCGGCCACGCCGGTCTTGCAGCCATAAATGACGTGCATCCTGTACAGAAGTTAACCGTGATAAAGGCGAGAACCATTGGCACGTGCGACGATAGGCGCTTAACTGCAATACTGGAAGTTTTAATCAATTGTACGGCACGTCATTCAAATTGTCCGATATCTTAAAAACGTAGTTGGGTTTTCACGCCAAAATCACACGGAAAATGATTTTAAAATTGCGTTTTTGCAGCATTATCAATTTCGATGCTGGCATTGCAATACCGCAAGAAAGGATGTCAATGAGACTGCAGGCATGTTGCGCTTTTTGCATATATAGCAGCAAACATTACTTCTGAAAACAGAAAACAAGGGAAGCAAAAAAAACCAATACTGACTTTGCACTGACAAAAATGGAAAACAAATGCTTAGGACACAAAATCCATTTTGTGACAGACCACGAGCGCAATAAGCTGTCACTTGAAAGCTCAGCGAAGGAAGCAAACACGCGTATGCAAACAAAGCGACAAAAGACGCCACTCGAAATTCCTTCTTCAGCTTGAGGAGAGGTTCAGGCTGGCCCGACGCCACCGACAGAGGCGGTCAGGGCCGCACCGGCAGCTGCGGCGCAAGAACGACATCTGTCACCCCCCCCCCCTAAATCCCCCCACTCCAGGTGGGTCACCATCGATCCCGTGACGTCAGCGGGACGCAACAGCTGGCCGGCGTCCCATGCCGATGGCGGCGCGTCTCTTTGTTGGGGCACGAGCGGCGCGCGGGCGACTCCCGGCGCCGGTCGGGACGCCGCGTCCCGCTATGATAGCCCTCCATCGATCCAGACGGCGCCCGGCAGCGGCAGGCCGGTCGGCTGCTAAGAGCGGGCTCGCAGCGGTCTCACAGAGGGGTCAGAGCGGGGTCAGAGCGGGCGCAGAGCGGCTCCGAGCGGGCTCCGAGCGAGCTCCGAGCGGGTCACAGCGGGCTCGCAGCGGACTCGGAGCGGGCTCATAGCAGGCTCACAGCGGGCTCACAGCGGGTTCAGAGCGGCTCACAGCGGGCTCAGAGCGGGTCAGAGCGGGCACAGGTCCG